AGAAAATGCGTTCTCTTGCTTTTGTGACATAGCTAGTCACAAGCGAGCTCTGTAACCTGATAAAACATCCGCTTGGAAACTGAAATGACCTAACAGACAGTGCGTACTATGTTCATTATGTTATCTTTAGCCATATGATCATGTGGTTTGAATTGAGCAAACGAGAATTTAGGGATACGATAGACCTTCGCGGGTGTCCTTCACAAAAAAAAATGTTTTATGCGCTATTTGAAGCTTAACCACCATACATGTAGTCATGGCTGTCATGGCGGACTGACGGACTTTCTGTAGCTCCGATGCTGATGCCGTTAATGCTTTAGAAACCAAGTCGTCCTCGCTCAATCCAAAGCCTTGTGAGTTAGAATATCTTCATCTTAATGACGGGAAGTTGGTATGGATGAATGACTTGGAGTCACTAAAGAAATTCGTGGAAAATTTTCTAAAACTGCAAGGAAAGTCGCTAACGCCTGGTGGGAAAACAAAGCAAATTAAATGTTTAAACGACAATATCATCATCAATTGGTACTGCAAGAAACAAAGAACTCTGAACTTTCAGGGCTGCGATGGTCCCGCTTTAAAGGATAAGCTGTTTGAATTAGTTCACAAGAAATCTAGAGAGACAACTGATACGCAAGATGCCAATTTTTTGAGATCTACCGAACAATCAATTCAACGACCTACACTACTGCAAGAGACCGACAATGGTCAGTGTAATTTTCAAACGTCGACTGTTACTGAGATTCAGCCAAATGGTCCTGAGATACGATCAAAATCTGAAATCACTGCCGATATTGAGGGATTAAAACTCGATTCATTGATCCTTCAGAAACAAGGTCAATAAAATACAAAGCTTAGGGAAAATATTCAAAAACAAGATGCCAATGCCCTAGGTGTCGAGCTCTTCGACTACAAAAAGAAGTGTGAAAAGCTATTATCCACTATATCTAATAAAGACAATGCAATTAATGATTTGGAAGAAAAGTGTTTGTTACTTGAAAGCCGAGTCCTGTCATTTGAGCAAGAAAATGCTTCTTTAAAGTTGGCAATAACAATTATTACGCAAGAAAAGAATGAAGTGGAAAACAATCAACCACAATCACGTGATTGGTCAGTTGAAAAGCCGCAGCAGAGAAGTACAAATGCAAAACATAATGAAAAAAGAATGTAATGAAGAAAGTAGTAAGTCGACGAATATTCTGGAGATTAAGGTAAATGATAAAATAGTAAGTAATCCTATAGACATTTCAGAAACTATTAACGATCACTTTACAAACGTTGCGCAAATATTAGCACAGGATATTCCTGTCGTTGATATTGATCCTGAGTCTTTTTTAGAACACTCTACTCATTCGTTTTCTTTAGAAATTCCGAGCGTTGATATTGTGTCTAACATTTTGTCGAAAATTGACGAAAAGAAAGCCACTAGTCTTGATATGATTCCGAGTAAATTTTTGAAAATGGCTGTTTATATCATCGCACCCTCTCTCTTACCTCAATCTTCTCTAAGTCTATCCTCACGGGGATATATCCAAATGATTGGAAAACGGCCAAAGTGAATCCTCTTTTCAAAAAAGGTATTAAATCGGATCCTAACAACTATAGACCAATATCTGTTATCCCTATAATTTCCAAAGTTTCTGAAAGAATTGTTTACAATCAACTTTTTCGTTATCTAGATGATAACAAATTGCTATTGGGTTGCCAATCGGGGTTCCGTACGCTTACGGCATAGTACGCTTACGGCTTTGCTTGAGGCAACAAATTCTTGGTCGGTAAATATCGACCTGATGGTCTCTTAAACGGCGTTGTCTTTATTGACCTTACTAAAGCATTCGACACCACTGATCATGAAATAATCTTGCGCAAGATGTCATACTTGGGTGTCGATCTGGCAGCTATTAAGTGGTTCTCGTCGTACTTGAGTGGCCGAGCTCAGAGATGTAGTGTTGGTGGCAAACTATCATCTGCCCGTACCGTCAGTTGCAGAGTGCCGCAAGGTAGCATATTGGGTCCTTTGCTAATTTTAATATACATTAATGATCTTCCCAACTCCTTGCGGGGCGCCGCACTAAGAATGTTTGCCGATGACACCAATCTTACGATATCTGCTAAGACATTAACAGAGCTTGAGCTAGCTCTAACCCCTGAATTGAATAACATTAGCCGTTGGCTGAAAGCTAACAAGCTCAGTCTAAATGTTGCTAAAACAGAGTTAATGATTATTGGATCAAGACAAAGACTATNGTGTACGGCCCTTTATATCCAAAGAAACTGCAATTCAAATTTATAACGCTTTGATTTGCCTCATTTTGATTACTGCATTCCCGTCTGGGACTGTTTAAGTGGCTACTTAAGCGATAAGCTCCAAAAATTACAGAATCGAGCAGCCAGAATTATTACTAAATTACCCTTTGATACGAGCTTAAACCACCTTCTCTCCACCCTCGATTGGGAGAGGCTATCTCTTCGACGAGAGAAACAAAAAGCCCTAATGATGTATAAAATTATAAACAACCTTGCTCCCGAATATCTACAAAGTCTTTTCTCTCAGCGTCACTCTGTGTACGACATAAGAAACTCTGAGGGAAGGCTGGCTTTGTCCAAACCAAACACCAATTATTTGAAACGAAGCTTCTCTTACAGCGGGGCGGAGTTATGGAATAAATTGCCCAAAAACTTAAAAAATGCTTCATCCATTAACCATTTTAGGCGAAATCTTAACCTAGTCGATATATAGGATTCCCACACGGCAATCATGTAAAGCAGTTGATGAATCTTAGTTTTTATTATGTAACTGATGATTTTCCGTGTTTAAATAAAGATTTACATACATACATACAAATGAGTATAGTCTCCTTCTCAGCCGTCTTTCGAGATGTCACGCAACGCTACCCCGAAAGAAACGGCTGCTCACATTTGAACTACATTCCTTTCCCGATTTTAGCCAAACACACCTACAGTTCCATTTTCTGGAACTGTCGCGCGCAAAATTTTCTAAAGATGACTCGACCAATAATACTTCGCGTTTTATCGTTCCACGATCTCCCGAGATTACAAAATCAAGATGTTGGCCCTTAATGAAGCTTTTCTTCAAGCATCGTCAACTTTCAAAATCGCAGGCTTTAATTCTTACCAGAAGCTTGCGATTCAAAACTTTGTCGTCCAGAAGCAAGATGCATTAGTAAACCTGCCCACAGGCTCTGGAAAATCTCTAATTGAGCTCTTCCTATCGTGTTCGTGTTTGTGTAATTTTATCGGTGGTGACGTAATCTAATTAGTATGAAGCACGTAGGTAATGCGGTGTAATGTATATAGGGCGAGTGTGCGAGAGAATGAAGGTAGCGTGGCAATGCGGATTCCGTGTGGTCTATAAGTTCCCTACAAGATACTAAATTTGGCGACGAGTGGTAGATTTTATACAAACACCTTCGGCCGCGCTTTTCGAGGCCTTTGCTCGGATCGTTAACAGCACCGGTAAATTTTGGATTCTAGCAGCTCTACTTTGCCCCCGACGTTCATTTCCGGCATTATGCACACGCTTGGCTCTTGGCCTCCCTTGGAAAGATTCAAGAATTTCCCTCCTCAGCTCTAGAACCTTTTCAGTTGCTCGTTGAAATTTCAGCAGCCGCTTCTAACACACAGCTTTGCATATAAACAACTTGCTGCTCGCATAGCAGCTGATATCGAAGTCCAACGAAGATCTGATTAGTTCCACAAAGTTATGGGTACTATTTCCGAAAATAAATACTCTTTCTTGGGCTGCTGAAGGCGAAGAACACATGAAACACTTTAAGATTTCCTCCACAACTTTTTACGGCGTTTCACTCTCCATACCATGCGGCTGAAAGGAAATCTCACATAGACTTTGCGCGAAAATTGCATCACTTGCAGTACCCTGACTTAATTGGTTGTTTGAAACACAATGGGTAAGGAATGTGGTTCAAATGTGAGCAGCCGTTTCTTTCGGGGGAGCGTTGCGTGACATCCCGAAAGACGGCTGCGAAGGAGACTACCCCCCGTATAAATGCAAAAGTTATCAATGCACTATTCGGCAAAAACTCATTGGTTTTAAATTGATCTTCTTGTTAACCGAATGGGGCGCGTCAATCCGAAATGGACGATGTTTCTTTGAGCGAATAAATAGCATATCAAATCTTACCGCACAAATAATCNACAAGAAGTTACATGTATTCCATGGTCAACTCGTCTTTCTAAACTTAGCATAGTGACCCCGCGCTTCTGTTCAAAATCTAGCCTCCAAGAGGTTGATAGCACACTTTATGTTAAGTTTGACAAATTCTTTGAGGTAAGTTCCTATCAGTAAACGGAACCACCAATACATGTCACTTGATCTAGCCGGCTGGTCAATGAATAATGGCTGAAATATGACCAAGCTTTGTACCTGCAGGATGTTCGAGCACGATCAACTTGTATTTAAAAGAATTCTTTGATAATAACATTAATGACAATAATAGTGCTGTTAATGACAATGATGATAATAATATAATTGCTATTGGTATTTACCGAGACACTGGATAGCGTTTTAGGGCGCACTCTGATTGACTACTCAAGTTCCGATTATTTTTTGATATTAACCTCTTGGAAACGCACACGAAATTTGCGCCCGAAAATATCGTAACCGTTGCGGAATAAACGAGTTTAATTCATTTTTTTGTGCTATACTAAAATAACTTTTCAATTCTAGGGTGAATATTTACTCCACCCCTTCACAGCTCGTTAAACATCTACCACCTCCACTTTGGTGAAAACTTGTAAATTATAGACTACGAGTAGTCCCTCCATCTCGGCGAAGTCTAGCACGCGACTGAAAAGAGATCAGCAACCTTGTTAACTCTGTTAATAAAACGAAATTATCTTATATCTTATTCACGCGAAAAGTAGGGGACATGTTCAGAGAAAAAATTTTCAGCGACATAAAGGAATATATTATTTACTTCGATTAGTCTTCACCGTTCCTTGTATGAAAACGACAGGAGTAATTAGGACTGGGCTCTAGAGACTTCCTCGATCATTATTCGGGATACTGATAACCATCCAGTGTAGGCATCACCCTGTATATAACCACTGGGACACTTCCCAACCCATAACTCCACAGTAACCCTGCCTTGTGGAATGTTTTCACAGCATCCCTCAAATGATCTGTGATGATGCAGATTGGGATTACCAGATGGCCAATAGTTGTACACAACAGCCTCAATTGTCATTGGTCCACTGCATTCATTTCCATTAAACTTGAAGAACCACCGGTTACATTGATTACTGCCAGAGACTCTCATAATTCCCTGGAATGAGACTTTAATGGCTGTATCAGACTGCAGCTTGTTGAATGAGCAATCCTGGATCAAATGACAAGAAGACAGTATCAGTGCAAAAAACTTTTATAACAATGGTACACATTAGGGAAGAATTCAATGACTTTGTACTTTTCCTGCCTGCTATGAAGCACAGAATTGAATACAAATTAATTTTGTTAACTTCCATTTGAAAATTTTAAAAATGTTTTATTGATCCAACTCCCAAATTTTTTATGGTATTTTTTAGATATTTCTATACCTTGATCTTTCCACTGTCTGTGTCATCACCTTTTTCCACACACACTGTTTCCAGTTGGTCTGTGACACTGCACTATTCACACTTTCTCCTTTCTCTCCCTTAGGCCCCAGTCCTCCTTTCACACCCTTCATTCCTGGCGGTCCACCGCTGCCACGTGACCCTTCATTGCCTTTAT